AAATGCTTTATCCTTTTTATCCTTTATGTAAAATGACCAAAAATGCACATCCTAAAATTCCCATTAATTTGAGTTCAAAGTACAATCAGATTCAAATAGAAAGCAGTCATCAAACAAAACGAATCGGAGAGAATAATGGGGCGAATGGCGGATGCTCAAGTCGTGGCACTCTAACGAATTGACTCGTACTGAGCTTTGCCCTCGCTCAAAGCGTTTCCATGAACACAATGAGGCTCTTTCATAGTATTTTTGCTTTTTTATAGAATATTTATCTAATTACCCATTCAAATGCAATCGAGGGTGCACTAGAATATCTAGGAGGGAAAGATAAATACGCACTGGCATGATCTTAAGGATAAAGAAAAAAGAAGCGGAAAGGAAAAGCAAAAAAAAAGAATGTGGTTAAAAAACAAAAGATACGCTGATGATAAGAGGTAACAGAAGCAAAATAGGTTGTATGCTCGGTTAGTAAAGTAAACCAGCTACCTGAAAGTACCATGTGAGTACAAAAACGTTGTTTTCCACAGTTGAGTCAATAAAAACCCCTCTCACGAGATCCTCGTCCTCGGTACAGAACCCAGGGAAATGACAGTTTTGAGGCTTGCTGACGACTTAACCCGTACTCAAGGAATTCTTTCAAGTCCAGACGAACAGGTCAAGGGGGATCTCGAGGTCGAGGGAATACGGGCTCCAAAAACAGCAGGTTTTTTTGAGCTTCCCAATGGGTATGAGCTACCTCAGCCTTATTTAGCAACTAGTAGTACAACCACTAGTGGTGAGGTATAGCGGGATGGCAGCAGGTGCATCAAGCCATTATTACGTTCAGTAGTCCCAAGCAGGGTCAACCGTTGGTAAAAAATTGAAATCAACACGACTCTCAACCCTCCAAGAGGACCATCACCTCATGGTAACCTCTTCTCCTTTGTCAATCCTGCCTCGTTACCTACTCGTCATCCCCTTCAGCCGCTTGGGCAGAGCGGAGACGTACCTAGGATTAGTGGCACAGATAAGAGAGCAAGAGATAAGAAATTCTCAAAAATCCACGGGACGACGAGAATTTACTCATTTTTCCTGGAATTTTGTCTCTATAAACACATAAAATATTGCAACCTCAAGAATGACCCCTCTCCTAGAGACAAAAATAATACCCCGTTCCCCTCGCTAAACTCTTCCTCATGGAGGTTTGCCTTGTTCCCAGAGCTTGCTACTATCATCTATGCACCTTTCACTTTGGAAAGGCCCCAGAATCTACCAGAGCATCTTTTATAAGTGATGTTTTAGCTTTGAAGGATAATGCATAGCATTGAAAAGTATTTGATAGCCTAGCATTACAACGTCCAATACTGAAAGGAGCAAATAGACTGGCACCAGAATCTACCGCGATCACAATTGGGGCCATCCCGTCTCAAAGATTAACAACAGAAATATCTGCACAGGGCATCCCAAAATAGATATTAAAAAACTACTATTTGACCTCTTGTGAATGCAGCGAGGTTCACAAGTCCTGAACCAATTCAGCGAGTCACTTTTTGCGACCTTTCCCAGCACCTAGTTGATCGCAGGGACCACTCAACAAATATGTATGAACTTTTTGATGGCTCGTTTAGCAGGCGGAGTGATTCCCATTGTGACCACAGTGGAGTGTATTTGAGACTGGTGTTCTCTTCGGGACTGAATGGCTTTGTAGGTGATAATGCCTTAATGCTCACCAAGGAATGCAAACCTAGAGGTGCCCAAGCGAAGGCATGCTTAAGGTACCAGCCGGACCATCCCCAGCCGATGGTCGATGGAGTCAGTGTGTCGGTAGTGTCGTTCACTCTTGTACTGTGTCAATTCAATCTTCGCCAGTGGGAGGGAGGTGAGAATCAGATTCACACCCTTTACTACCCTCATTCTTCCCAAATTACAACCTGTGACTCTCGCACTCACCTGCAATGAATCTAAAGACCCCTCATCTCCCTAAACAAATAGTACGACTTAAATCGTGTAATCCACACCAATCGTGGCTCACAACAAGTGCCAGTACAGGTTGTACGCCATGGTGCTCTGGACAAATATGTGAAATAAATATTTATCTATCCTGCTTTCTTTTTATGAAACATCCGTTATTTTCAATACATCTTACTGTCCCGAAATTTGGAGAAATTTCTCTGATTGTTCTGAGGAAGCATTGCATACGGCTCTATACACGAAGTTTACGAACATGTTCAAGAGTGCATCTCGCCCTGTCTGATAAGATGGATGTAAGTTTCATGGAAGGGAACAGCATTTTATAATTTTGCGGAATAAGGGGGCATTCAGTAGAAGGGGTCATACTCCCAGGAGAAACAAGTAAAGGGGGCTTTTGGTGAACGAAAAATTTCAAGTAATTTCGCCGTTTCAATAGCTCTTTAAATAGGAACGGTCAGGGTGCTTGGAGGTGCTCGATCTTTTTGTTTGACGATGAGGAGCGTTTGACAAACGAACGTTTTTCTTTCAGGCACAAGCCTGTTGGGTTTGAAACTTGGTTGGCTATTTGTTGGAGGACGGATGGTTTTATGCGCCATGTCTTCCGATGTTTCCAATTCTTTGTTCGGTAGGGTTCGAAAAATCGAATATTCGAAGTAGTAATCTCAGATGTGGACATGTAAAGTAAAATGGGGTAATAGTTCGCGTCGAAGAATTTGTTCTCTGGGTGGGACAGAGTAGCTACGGGAGTGCTTTGTCGGTGCTCGAAAGTGCCACAGTGGCACTAGGGTATAACAAAGTGATCTAACGTCGACTAATGTGAACTTACGGACGAGTTACCTCGCGGGTATGTAGATAAATTTGTTCGACTCATCGCAAATGGGTTGTGCCCAAAAAACTCGTCTAGACGCGCCCTTTCCACGCCGTCATACGCTGTTAGCCCACAGCACTCGCTATAACGAGTACTTTTTACCTACTGTTGTATAGGTGCTTCCCCTCCCCCTTTTGTGCGACTCACACATCTGAAGTTCAGGGGCGGGGCTGTATGTGTATCAGGTTGGCCAACGACAATTGCTGAGCAACCATCGGAGGTTATAGTCGGGAAGGTCGCACATTTGTGACCTGCTATACCGCAGTTTCGGGGTGGACGTGAAGGCGAAGGTTAACTGAAATGCGCTTTTTGGAGACGACTCCCTCCCTTGTTTCAAGATGCTGAGTAAAAGCGCCGTTTTTGGGCGCTGAACGAGACTACATTCTACTGTGTCGGCAGGCACTTCTAGAAATGGTGAGAAGCGAGACGAAGGAATGGATAGAGGCAAGAGAGCATAAGGGACAACAGAGACGCAGACATCAACACACTCGACTGTGCAAAGATCCTACGAGCAGCTTACGTAGATTCTGGTCACACTACAGAAACGTTGGCAATCACTCTCATTCGATACCCATCCAGGGTCAGTTGGTCCATGCTGCAATTCCAAAACTGGTCAACCCTCTCATATGGAGTTCGATATGATCCCCTCCACCACCATCAGCTTTAGGGGATCTCTCAACACGACCCTCCTCTCCATCAGCGACCACCAGCCTCGCCATGAGGGCTGTTTTTGTAGCTGATTCTGAGACTAGTCGACACGCTACAATCCCGTCCACATGTTTCCGCACTTAAACTCCGCCCACTTGTTTCCACGCTCCAACCCCGCCCACTTAATGCACGCTTTAACTCCGCTCACTTTTCTCCTCCAGAACGGCTATCGAGCAGGGCGAATTTGTTCAACTGAGACAGCAAATCTCCAATTTTGACCGTTCATGGTTACTTCTTCGATTTTTTCTAAAATTAAAAAAAATCTCTTGTAGCACGGCCTCACTCTGCATTCACCACGACCCCTTCTTCCGAAAATACGATCCCCTCTGCAACCTTTTGTCCTCATCAACCCCAAATACGACCCCCCTTCCAAAGAATCTCAAGTAGGTGCTAACTAAGGGAGTAATCATTTTGTACTCCTACTGACTAGTATAGGGCGCCATTCGTTGCGGGACCCACTGCCTTAACCCGCGGGGATCCCATGTGATCGCGGTTGAATTCGAACATTCCAGCTTCTCACGCATGTCAAGTGACTGCCCTCACCCCCCACCCCCCCCCTAGACTGGCTACACTGCCCCTGGCTCACGGATTCCCCGCTCCACATTGAAGGGTTCACTGTAGCAGGAGGCAGTGGGACCCGTAACGAATGGCGTCCTTTACTAGTCAGTAAGGAGTACAAAACGATGGCTCCCTAACTAAGTGGGGTGGAACAAGGGGCCGTTACAACTTCACCGCACCGCGGCAGTTCTGAAAAACAGTAGCACGGCGGAACAAGCTTGAAGAAGACGGGCAAAGCGCCGCACCGCCGCGTGCCCCCCCCCCTAACTAATTGCACTCTTTAGCACTTTCAAGTACGACTCCTTTCCTTGAGAGCTGCGCAAAGCAGGGTTGACCCGGTTCCCAACTTGCCGTGCTCCAACTACAACTCGCTCCTCGGCGGGCATTTGACCCGCAGAATGCTGGCATTCGTGTTGGATCGATCCGAGGCTGCTGTTTGCATGCTGTTAATTGGCTGGCTGACCGCCAATTCCGTTGGCGTCTGGCCAGATGGGCGTGGTCACCGCTGTGATTGGCCGATTTTAGATTTGCGCGCGGAATGGACCGTCGACGAGACGGCTCCACTCGCTCATCCTAAACTATTTACTTACTTTTTCTGGTTCTCTTCTTATTTGGAAGTACAGTAGCCATATATTTAACGCTATTCATAACCAGATTTGACATGTTTTTCCACGTTTTGGCGTGTAACGCGGCTAATCTGGCCCATAAATGAGGCATAGTGATTTGTATTGGTGCTTTGGCCATGTTCGTGGATTTTTGTGGTTGATGAGTTTTGAGGATTTTTGTGGCAGAATAATTATTACTTGTGACAACCGAAGAACCTTAGCTGCAAAAGATCTCAAAAAAGTCGTTCTTCGTAATATTGCTTCTGTTGCCTTCTTTTTACTTCTGCAGAGCTAGTTTAAACTAATTCCAGATGGAGGGACGTTACGTTCTTGAGCTACGTGATCGTGATCCGGCCACCGTTGAGGATCTTGTGCTAGATGGTTGTGAGAGTGCCGAAATTGAGGGTCTCAGCGACAAACTCGTGAAACTTCAGGTACAGTACTGGCTTTTGACTTGATGGATTTTGCCTAGGTGTTCACGTTATTCTCTGTTGACTGCTTCTATTTATGTGCGACTAGTCGCGCAATGATTACGTTTGTTTGCTTTATTTACTTACCCCTCTTTTTTCAGAGTCTCAGCATGTTCATGTTGGCTTACAAGTCTTAAAAATTTGCCAAAACTTCCAATGTTGAGCAAGCTGGACCTCTCGGATAACAGCATCGCTGGAGGTCTGGAGCATGTGGCTGACAACTGCCCCGAGCTTCTTCATCTAAACCTTGCTTCAAACAAGTACGGTGCTACAGGCAGCATTCTTTAGCCTGTCGGCATCAGCGATACGGAGGTCTCACAGGCCGGCTCAAAAACGCTTATAAAATATCTTTTTGTTAATTGAGACTAAGCTTATTGAAAATAGCATTCTGGGTGGCGTGAGCAATTTGCCTTTTATCGGAGTTCTTTTTTACATTCTCTTAGGCGTACATTAGTCCTAGAGGATGCCCAGGTATCTTACGATAGCGCCTAGCTTTATTCTTAAGTTTCTTTCACACAGTCCATTGTTTCCAGGATCGCTAAGCTTGAAGATTTGTGTGTGTGTTGTTTGTTTGGAACCATAAAGAAAATGAAACTGGCTGAGCTTGATTTGTTCAACAATCCCGTCACCGCAGGAAGTGATGGAGAGTACAGGTAAATTAAAATACCTAATATCGTTATCGTTTTACCCTGTTCTAAGTAGAATCCGCATCTCTTCGAACTGTGATAGACGTGATAAGAGAGTCAGAAAAAAGTTCGAATTGTTCATCCCCCCGCCCCCCCCCCATCGTTACAAATTCTTGACGGAGCTGATGTTAATGGAGAAGACGTCGACGATTCACTTGATGGAGAGGTTCGTTCTAATTTAAGATGCTTTTTCCTAACAGTTACTTAGAATTTTTGTTTCTGGAAATGAAGTTTGCCGCCCGTTTTTTTTTATGCCCCCAGTTTTCCACTTTGCTGTTATTCTGTTCATTTGCCGATCATTTTTTGCTGCTTTCTACTACTGTCAGGTCCTCACCATTTCCACAAAGTTCTTGATTTTTTACGCAGTGGAATGGGGCTTTGACCTGTAGTGAAGGTGTATTATACTCTGAACCTTATTGCAGTGTTGAACGGAAGTGTCATAGAAGGTATCTGCTCCACATCGCAAGTAATGAATATGAAAAACCATCGCAAAGCATGGCTGCTTCCTAGGCGTTTACGGCGAAGGGTTAACAGGCGAGCTGTGGCCACTCTCAATCTGTTAGACGTAGATTTGCCTCTTAGTGGTAGACGATTTAAGGTATGACGCACATATTAACCTTGCAGTAGTACCTCCTAGAAAGTAGAAAGCGATAACTTAGTGTTCTTATGCTTAATCTTCTTCACTTTCAAATGAATCTGATATTCGCTCTCTGGTCATATTTTGATATATTCTTTATTAGGATGGCCTCGAAGGGGAAGACAGTGGAGATGAATCTGGTTCTGATCTGGATGGCCCTGGCTTGAGCTACTTGGACAATAGCCAGTTGGTAAGTTGTAGTTGGTCATTTGCCACAAATGTATTCATTTTGCGTGTTTCTAGTTAAGCATTCATTAAACAAAGTTCATAATGTATATGAACAAGTGTTTTTTCAGGATGAAGATGAATCAGAGGAATACAAACCTGACGATTTGGATGAAGAAACAACAAAAAGGGGATTGAAGAGGCGCAACGAAGAGACGAACGGTGATGAGTCTGGTACAAAGAAGAAGGCTGATGAATAAATGGATCTTCTCTCCTCTACAAACCATCATTGCGCGCAATAACTTTCGATTTTGAATCCTCATTGAGCTGTTCGTTGCTCATCGTGTGGTGGTGTCGAGTTAGTGTGCAAGTGTTGTTCATTATTACCCATCGTTTGTTTAATATTATTTAAGGTCTTTTTATTTTTTCTTACGTGGTCCCTTTGATGGGTTTTGTTGCATATTGATTTCACTGGACATCTCGGTGCGGACCTCGTAATCACGTGTGCTCCCTCCCTCCATATGTAACATTACTTAAAGTAGGTGCGTCGCAGCAAGCGATGCTGTCTTGTTAAGTAGGAAACGGTGTCAACTCGTTGCCTATCTGAGGGACGTGGTTGTCGGTTGATCTTATGATGAGTTACGTGTTAAATTTTTTCATTATGTCGATGATCTAGATCTTCTTTTTCTCTTCAGTTTCAGATAAATGTCATTTCCAAAGTTTTGCTAAATGTGATAAAACGTAGAAACGTCATATGATACATCTACCATGTGTGTTGATTTGAAGATTGTGAAAGAAATTTGTCAAATAGGAAGTTGACCTTGGAATTTCCAAGGATGTAGTGATGCCGGTCTGCAGAAGTTTGCACACTTCCGGCCCTTCTTTTGAAGTAAACAAGTTCACCTAAATGCACAATAGATTTGTTGATTAAATTCACCAAGGAAGATCATGTTGTGAGATCTTTGTAGTGTTGTTGATAGGTTGTGAAGAGCTGAGTCGCTTTTATGAAGTTGGTTTTGCAAAGTGTAGGCTCGGATGTAGTCGACCTAATCGATCGTGGGTGGTTTATGGTAAAATTTACAATATTTTTGGTATTTGTTAAGTGCTAGGGTGGAGATCGTGTTGGAGCAAGTGTTGATATTACCTCCAGAGATCCCGAGAATCGCATTTCTCCTCTGCGAAATGGCGGTTGAGGGCACCTTCTAGATGTACGGGGGGCTAGATCAGTTTTGCGTAGGGGGTGTGATAAAACCTTTCAAGAATTTTCAGGAATTACGTTTATCATGATCAAAATGCAGAGTCATGCGTTCTCGTGAGGTAGAAACAGTTGAGTTCTGAGGATAGTTGTGGGAGTTTTTCCACCATCATGTTCTTCATCAGAGTAGACCTTGGAGACTGTACTCGCATTCTTGTGGTATTCGGTTATTATGAGATTCCCTTGGTCAAGCTTCAACACGTTTCCACGGGGAAATGCTATAAAAAAGGATAAAGCATTTGCCGTTGATCAATCCCTTTTTGGGATGCGGCACGCATTCTACTTCCATTTGTACATTCGTAGTGGCGTTTGAATGCGATGTGGCCTATACAATGACTTGCGGGGCCAGCCGATGTACAAGTCAGTGTTTTTATCCTCCCAGACAAGTCTGGTACCAATTAACCGACCCCGGAGGGATGGAAGGCTTGGTTGGCCCGGGCGACTCACGACCCAGGATTTGATCCCCGGACCGCTCGCGTGGTAAGCGTGCCACTTGCCACTACACCACTTCCGCCCAATGCTTCATCCCTGATTTAATTCTGAGTGGGGTGTTCATATGCGGAATGACTCGTTAAATGTGCTTTGACGAGCGAACCAGGTCCAGATCCGACACTGGTGTTCTTATTGTACCGGAATTTCCGTCCAGTTCCTAGCCTTTTGAATGAAAAGGTAGAACCATTGCGATACGACACGATATGGTTGCAAGGTCTGAAGTTCGGTGGTGATCAGTCCCTTTGGAGGCGCTACGCATTCGGCGTCCATTCGAAGTTGTAGTGGCATCTTGTGTGCGATTTGGCTTATTCAATGACTGACGAGGGCGGGTCAATGTGCAAGCGTTTTTGTTCTCGCACCATGCTGGGTATCAACTACTATAGTTTTCCTGGGAGGAGGGACACTGGACAAATGTTATATCTGCTTGGTTTCGGCCGCACTGTGGCCTAATACAAGTTAAGGCAGAAAAAAACGTGGCGAAAAACCTTTTTATGTGTAGTCGACGAAAGAGAATTGGGCGAATTAGGTCTCTTGTATAGAGCTTCCACACGGAAAAAGCTTTATGTGGTGTATGAGCCGGTTTCAGTAATCTGGAACATCTGCATCAGCTTCTAAGGCGTCTCATGGTACTTGTTAGAGTATGCTTTTTATAGGTATGGGTAGACCGAGAGCGTCTGAGGCTGATCCGCTTCGGAAGGCGAAGCGTGGTCGACCGAGTAAGCACAAGCGTGATGAACACGTTGTAGTACATACTGGTTTCGATGGACACGCTAATGCCCCTTGGTGAGTAGAGCTTTAAAATATGCTTTTTCCTATTATGCCTGGGGTATATTTTTTAAGTTGAGAACAAGTTCAGTGGTTTCAAAGGCATCTGGGGCCGTAAGGTATGCTTCCCAAACAGGAGAGAGGACCCCTCCCTGGTAAGGTATGCTCTCCCCGAAAACTCTCGGGAAAAGGCCACGCCACCGGTTCTCGGGGATATCTCCCGATTGACATGCAATCGGGGAGATATCCCCGTGATTGACATGCAGGCCGGGAGACATCCCGAGAACCGGTGGCATTGCCTTTCCCCGAGAGTTTTCGGGGAGAGCATACCTTACCAGGGAGGGGTTCCTCTCCTGTTCGGGGAAGCATACCTTACGGCCCCTAGAGGTCCATACTATGCACTAGTTAAGGAAGATCTATTGCCACATTTATTGCAGGCGTAAGACTGTGTCCATCTTTAAGCAGCCGGTAACTCTTGTGCACACATCCGGACGTGACACAAAGAAAGGAACCGAGCAACAACTAAAGCGAGGACTTGTTGGTTCACGTTCTCAGGAGAAGCCTGCGCCGGTAATTCTTCTCAGCAGACTTGTTCCAGTACAGAATATGGTCGTCGTTTTTATATTAGTTTCTTTATTAATTAGTTTCTTTGTTTCAAGGTAATGTGGGCAAAAGCTTTGGAGAACGTTCAAGCCTTGATACCTACAGCTGTAGCAGACAAGGTAGTGTAGTTTCCATATGAGCAAGTTTTATATAGCCAATTTGTAGACACAGTCATTCAGAATTGAGCGCTTGTCTTGGGCCTGTCTATTGAATGTATGCTTCACAGGTAGACGTTAACAAAACGGAGTATCTCACTGAAAGCCTCCATCTTGCTGGACGTCTTGAAAGAGCAAGCAGTATTTTGAGCGAGCAGGCCGCAGCGGCCACTCTTTTCACAAGTATTCATAATCCAAATCAATCAGGGTAAGAAAATTTGTCAATATGAATTTCTTCACGCAAGTGTTAGACATTCTTTCGTTGATTATAACCTGAATATAAATGGTGTGATTCATAAATGAGGTTCCTCTTACCGTGCGTTAGTTTCTGGAAACATGACTTTGGGATGCAGTCTAAGTTGGTACTCAATAAGTTTTTTTTTTTTTGAGTAACCTGTTTACAGCTGCTTGTCGCGCCAAACCGCAGGACCAACAAAGAAAAATTGGAAAGTAATTTGATGCTGCACGTCAATCCGGACCAACCCATACTTCGAGTGAGTCGATCTTTTTCGTAGCGAACGTCACAGCATTTACTTTGCTTTCTAGATGAAACAAATTCTTCTCTACTCTCTTCTTTTTTTTGAGCTTAATTTTAATTGACTCATCCCCCCCACTAAGTATTCGGCGTTTATAAATGCTCTGTTTGGCTCTTTTCATCACCGATGGTTTTTTTAATTTTTCCAGTGTACTCATCACATTGGCCAAGGCATATTTTCATGAAAATCATTTGCAAAATTGGTCCTCAATAGGCCCGCTTGTTTGCTCTTATATATTCCATTATGTGCTTTGTGGAATCTTATGAGTTTAGTTATTCATTTTCTTTCAGCCAGTCACTGTTCAACCGGAAGACATCTCAGCTCAGGAAAGGCGTGTTTTGGATGCTCGAAAACGACTTCAGGAAGTGATTAAACATTTTGGCTGATCTCATTTTCATCGTGTTGTACTTCTTGCTTTGATTCTAATTATTTTTTGTAGCTATGGGTTTGTGGCAGTTGTTTTAACTTATTCCCCTTCCTCCATTGTTTTCTTTTCTTTTTTTTGTCAATAAGAACTCAATCAATTTCTTGTGCTTTTTGTAGTGAGTGTTTTGCAGTTGCTTGTACACTACAGCACTTATGTTGTAGCTGGTTTAGCTGTCGTGACTTGATGTGGCACAGCGATTTATACTGAGTTCGGGACAAGGGGCAGGTCTATTATTCATGGGAAGTGAGACTGATGAATCGAGCAAAAGGCTCTACATTGCATTGGTAAAGTCGTCTTTGCATTGCCAGCCGCATTCATTGCTATTTCGAACTCAGTGCGACATCCCACGCGGATAATGATGTGTTGCGGAATTTTTTTGGGCTTTGCAAGAATAGCTTCCAGTATCTTTCACTTGGAAGTCCTTGATGGTCAGTGTGAAATGACCGCGACTCCTCTTCCCTGGTCAGAATGTGAACATTGTCAACTTCAATGGGCACATCATCTTTGAACCAAACAACCTTGGGTTCTGGTGATCCTGTGACAGTCACAGACAGTTCAGGGGTTTCGCTTTCTTTGACATATAGGTCTCAAAACCTCAACGAACTGGGGAGCTACAGCCTCTTTGGTAACGTTGACAGTTGCTTCTGTGCGAGCTTCTCCAGCAATGTTCGTGGCTTTGCAAAAAGGGTCGTATTGGAGGCAGCCTTAAAGGCATGTCAATGTGCTTTTCCGAAATTTAGGTGAAGGAATTTATGAAATCTTTGAGACTTTGCAAAAGTTCTACTACTTTTACTTTTCTACTTTTAGTTTCTTCTGCTGCTTGAGTAAACCAAACTTGTGATTTGTTGTATAGGGGCTCTATAAGGAGGCGCTAAGGCAAGGACCCGACAACCAAGGCACATTTTTACTCTGTGAGCTGTTATTGTTGCGGGGCAAAGAGGCATTCGGCCTTGGGATGGGTACGGCGGGCCTTGCCCCGCGGAACTTTTCCCTCAAACCTCATCGCCTACTCAACGCATTCAATTGTATATGTCGACATAGGTAAAGTGCATTCAACTACCAATAAGACTCCAGAGGGAGTAAAATGCATGGCGCATCCTAAAGTGGATCAATGCTAAGTGTTTAATGCTTTATACTTGCTGTCACTGTAACGCACACAGATGGTGGGGGGGGGGGGGGGCAAAAAGTCACTTCATGGTGCACATCACCAAATTTTTCGTTAAAGAGGTGCCGCTGTTGATGGAAGTTCTACGGCAGAATGTTCTCTAGATGTCCCCTCCCCTATCCTCCCCATGAGAAGAAAAAGGAGAAGCAGGCTCTCGTCCACTGCCATCGCCGTCTTCAGAATATGACGTCATGTGACTGCCGAACGTAACGAGGCCTACCGTAATGGCTCCAGCTGAAGAGGTAGTGTGCAACACCCCTTATGACTAGCGCTTCAGATAAGGTCGTAATGGTCCATGATCCGTCAAAAACCTCGCTGAGTTCGAAGCGTTTCCGTGGAAAACCTCCTGTTGTCGCCGGAGTAGAAGGCTATCATGAAGTTTTCTGATAGAATGGAATGCGCTCTCCAACTCGCGATTGGGATCTGTTGTTTGTGGAGTCGTAGATGTCGAAGCTTTATTCGGGGGCAAAACATAAGGCCAGTGGCACTCTGAGTTGTTATTCCCTTAAAAGGAAGGTTGGCGAATATTCATATGATTAAGGTTAGCTTTCAGGCCGATGTCAGACTTTGCGAATCGCGCGATTCGCTAGCGTCCGCGGTCGCGTTGCGGTACCAGCCAATTGAGTGATTCACTGGCCGCGACGCGACCGCAGACGCTAGCGAATCGCGCGATTCGCAAAGTCTGACATCAAAAACGAGACTCAGAGCAAAGAAAATATAAGATTTATTTCATAGCCATTTCGGGAGAATTATTCTTATATCATTGGCATCGAATGTAAGATAGCGTTTAGGCGTTAAATTTAAAGGGCAGGTGGTCAGTCAGATGTCAAGAAGGAAATACAATTATAACCATTAACGCGAAAGCGTAGATCTGCGCAAAGAACGAACGAGGACGCATTCTTGCCTTCAGGAGGGAATGCGACCTTAGCGGCAGATAGTCAGACTAATAATTGCGAAAAAATGCGCGATTCGCAAAGTCTGACATTGGCCTAACGGCCCAACAGAGCTTACCCACAGTAGTAATTCCCTTTGTGAATGTCCCAGCTGTTGGATCCTCGCCGCCGATCCTTCAGCAAAGAAGCGGAGCAGATTATCCAACGCGATGACCTTCACATCGAATGAAGTTGCCACGCTTGACGCGAGACAAACCCGGAAAAATACGCAGTCTCGTCTGCTGAGCTACAGTCTTCTCAGTTTTTTTTCCTTACTCGTAGCACCTCTTAGCAGACTGATACATTATTTTAAAGCCTAAAAGCGCAATCACGTAAACCCAGTGGCCATCTAAAACACCCGTCCTGTGTGATTTCTTGATCAGAACTACTGTTTTGAGGACCAGGTGGACATGGAGTACGGTGTGAGACCAGAAGTCGATACAAAACCAGGAAGTGAGATCGGAGGACAAGGTGATAACGAGAACACACGCAAGTACGATGAAGCTCCAAGTAAATTCTTGGTAGACCATAAAGTGATCAACGCTACAGGCTGAAGTTGATAAATGGGAGTTGATACATTTTTAGTGACCAACTGATAGAGAAAGACAAGGCAACAGAACGAGTGAAAACCAAGTTCGGGGGAAGAGGGAGGGACACTCTGAGTTTTCGATGGCTTAACGCTTAAGACACCACGAAGCCGCTTATGGACACCCGTGATCCACTCATTTGAAAGTATACCTTCATGATAGTCCGTTGTTGACATGTAGTAGAACTCTAAATTTGGCCTCACATGATTCGACTTGAACGGCACCAGTAAACCAGGGAATGGAGATTTTGCGCAACGGAGTGAGGACTTCAGGATGTGGATGTATCCAGTTGCAGCAAAAATTGGATTTGGACCCATGCGATGTGCCACAAAGCGGGAGATTGCTTTTCTATGATATTTTTTTGGACTGTCATATTTTTGAAAGAATGGAGAAAAATAATAATCGAAGTATAAGTTTTGTTATATGCAGGACACTCAAATTCAGAAAAAATCCGTATTTACACAGCAAATGAAAATAAATGGCAACAAAGCACGCAAAACAAATCGTTCACGAATAGGGTGCCTTAAAAATGGAAAAAACCGAAAAGACTGAAATTAAAAGCGATCGAATTCCCCCAGGAAAATCTGATTAAATGCTTTGGGTGGCGGAGGGCTTTCACTCGGTAAACAACATCTCGGAAGTGTCGTCACTAGAAACTCTGTTTGACTGTGGATTATCATCCACTAACCTTTTACTGCCACTGGATCCTATTCTACCGAACCCTTTTCCCTAATTCTTCAGATACCGAAAAATTCAACAGTGTGTTAAATTGGGTCTCCCCCCCCCCCCAAAGACGCACTTCTTCCATGCCCCGCCTTGGCTCCGCGCGACATACCTTCGACCGTCCATATAGTGTGTTTTTGTAAGTTTGTTTCTCTTCGGAAACTGAATCTTCATGCGTGAAACTTTGTGTGTTGTTTCTAGTGATCACAACTGACATATTCATGTTAGGAAAGAATGCAAGAATTTTCCGGGGAGGATTCCTTCAGCGATATGTACTATATGCCCTACGACTACATAGTCGCTCAGTCTGAACTGAGTGTTACCACAACATGTACACAGCCTATCAAAAGAATACTGTGTGCAAGCGCCAGTGCTGCAGATGATTTCAGCATTTTTGAATCAAGGTGGGGTCCTCAAAGGAGTCCAAGGCGATCCACAGCAGTGAGCGAAGTCGCTCTAAAAGAAGCTATTGAGATGAGTCGACTCGGCCAAATGACGCTAGCACGATCTCGGCGACTCATGGCGATCTTCCAATGTCAGAATTCCATGAGCATCAGGCTTTTTCATCGGAAACCACTGCCCTGTTAAGTGGGTCAAAGCGACATTCATAATATAAAGATAAAAAGGATAAAGCATTTGCCGTTGATCAATCCCTTTTTGGGATGCGGCACGCATTCTACTTCCATTTGTACATTCGTAGTGGCGTTTGAATGCGATGTGGCCTATACAATGACTTGCGGGGCCAGCCGATGTACAAGTCAGTGTTTTTATCCTCCCAGACAAGTCTGGTACCAATTAACCGACCCCGGAGGGATGGAAGGCTTGGTTGGCCCGGGCGACTCACGACCCAGGATTTGATCCCCGGACCGCTCGCGTGGTAAGCGTGCCACTTGCCACTACACCACTTCCGCCCATAAAGCGGTAAACACCAGTAATACATACATCTTATCAATAGTATCCCTATTATGTTAGCAATGAGAGTACAATGTATTTGTGCGTGTGAAATCTCGGACAGAAAGATAGGATCGTTGCGGTGTAAGTCGTCCGCTTCAAATTTCCAACAATATAAAAATTGGAGAGTGGAAGACCAGAACAAGATTAAAAGCGCTGCAGGTGACCTCATTCTACCAGCGAATTCTAAGCAATTCCATTCGAGGGACTTAGTTCGGTAACATGTCACCAACAACTCGAGGGGCAGCGATCGTCGGCGCCAATAATTCTCTGATGCTCCACCCTGGCCAAAGTGCTATCAAACTGTCAACCGATTAGGGTGTTAAACGGTCTTTTATGAGCCGACGAGAACGTTGACAGTGTGCCGGGGATGCAGGGCACAGACACGTTATCGTGTTGTCAGTAATGTTCAAAGGGATGCCGCTGATAGAGAGACGCTGCCCCAATCGCCGTCCTGTTTGATCACCTTAGATGTTGTCTTCACCTTCTCACCGTCATTTGCTAAACAACGCGTCCTTTTACTTCGACGGAGTACTGTAGACAGCCATCGATTTCACTCATTCAATCTCTTCTCTTTTATGATCCTGTAATTTCAAATAAT